CCCCCACCCTCTGGCTCACCTCCCTCAGACACTAACGCACCACGATTTGGGGGCGCGTGACCTTAATCCAGACTAGGTCCTGTGGAGTCTGATCTTTACCTTCTCTCTCTCGCTCTCATTCTCGCTCTCTCTTTTCCTGGAGGAAGGGGATGCAGGAGTCGTCTGGGAGTAGACTCCAGAGCGTCTGGCCATTTCGTCCCACCCCTGCATCTCGGATACCCCTCCCCCCATACCTGCCGCCAGCAGAGCTCTACACCGTAGTGGGCCGCTCCCAAGGCCTCTCCTCCGTTTTGCCGCACAGCCTTTCAGTCACCCCCACCCCCAATCTTGGCCTCCCGCACTTTTGGCCTTCTCCGCGCTTCCCCTCACAGAGCGCTTTACCGAGGCTTCGGGGGTTCCTAGACTCTCAGTTCCACTCTCTCAGAAAGACTCGGCTCTGACCACATCCAGGAGACCCAAGCGGACCCTGAAGAAGTCTTGGCCCCCAGCCCCAGCCGCCGCCCCACTCACGCGTGCCGTCGAAGCGGGTGGCTATGGTGTCCAGGAAGGTGTTTTGCGGAGCCAGCAACCCCTTCATGACAGGCATGGCCTCCCGGTGCGGGTTCGAGGCGCGGCGCTGAGGGGTCATTCAGCGCGGCGGGGCCCAAGGGGGCGCGCTGCCGGCGGGGCCGGGGCGCCCCATGCGCCAGCCCGCCTTCTCCCCTCCCTCTCGCCGCCGCGTCTCTGCTCCAAACCCAGAAGCTTTCGGCTTGGCTCCGCAATGCCTCGGTGGTTCTTCGCCCCACCGGCCAGGTGCTTTCCCCTGGGCTTGGCCCGCGCGCCGGCCACCTGAGCTTGGCCCCGCACCGGGAGGGGCCGCCGGTGACACCCGTACCCCTCTCGGCGGCCCTCCTTCAGGAGACAAGTGGCCCACGCGTGTCTCTCGGGGAGAAAATCCGGGACACGCCCACCAGGAGTCGAGGCTCGAAGAGGTGGGGCGGGGCTTGAGCGACAGACACGCCCCTTCCTTGGTGGCCACTCTCTACGCGTGGTTCCCTGGAGCCCCCTGTGGTTCCGCCCCTATGGGTTTTCCGGCTCACCGCCTACGTTGGGAATGCTATCTGGTTAGCAGTGCCGCCTGCTGGAGTTGGGCTGTTTTCTCAGCACCGTCAGGTTCCTGCGCTCCAGTGTGAGACAGGGAGGGTTAAAGAGTCTAGTTTTGCCGGTTGAGGATCGCTGGAAAGGCTGAGAACTCAACTTCTGGGATGCACTACTTAACCCCATCTGTGCCTCGGTTTGCATAGGCCACCCTGGAGAATTCTGCCTCTGAGCCCAGCAGGGTGGATGAGAAGAGCTTTAGAGTCCACAGGGTAGAATCCCGGCTTTGCCATTTACTAATTGTGTGACTTGGCCTCTCAGAGACTCACTTTTCTCATTTGTGAAATGGAGCTAGTAATTTTTACTTCATGCGGTTGTGAGACTTTAGCATAATGCATGGTGTTGGCACAAAATAAGTGTGTTGGGGAGCAAATTTCTCCCTAATCTCCCTCTTCCTATGGTCTTGATTTAATCCTTCTCTCTGCTGCCATGCAAGTGGAAGAAAGGCTGGAAGCAAGTTTGGGGCTGAGAAAGATAGTTTCAAGGTAGGCAGAGTCGGTTTGCAGCAAGAAGGACGCAGGTGAGACCAGACACGGGACTTTTTCACCATGTAAGTAGAAAATTACTGGGGCGGATGAGTGTGGTGGCTTAGGGTGACTGCTTCCTGGAACAAAACAGTTAAAGCCAGTGAGAATGTAAAGACATCCCCCGAAAGGGCAAGCCAATAATACTCTTTCCCCTCCCCGCAAAGGTTTGAGTCCAGTATAGTCTGGGATGTTAAATAGCTTAAAAGTGTCACATCATTCTGTGTCTCTACTTTTGGGTGTTATATTAGTTCCCTAGGGACTAATATAACAAAGTATCACAAAGTGGGTAGCTTAAACAACAGAAATTTATCGTCTCTGTTCTGGAGGCTAGAAGTCCAAGCTCAAGATAATGGCAGGAGGGCCTGCCGAGTGGCTCAGTTGGTTAAGAGCGCGCTCAAGAGTGCAAGCTCTGAGCAACAGGGTCACCGGTTCGATTCCTGGCCCGAGCTGAGCTGCTGCTGAGCTGCCAACAGGTGGCAGGATGGTTCAGCTAAAAAAAAAAAGAAAAAAGATAATGGCAGGATTGGTTTCTTTGAAGGCTGTGAGGGAAACCTGTTCCATGCCTGTTTTCTAGCTTCTGGTAGGTTGCTGGCAATCTTGGGCATTCCTTGGCTTGCGGATACATCACGACACCTCCGCCTTTATGTTCACATGGGTTCTCTCAGTGTGTTTCTGTGTCCAAATTCCTCATTTTTTATAAGGACACTAGTCATATTGGATTGGAGGCCCACCTCACTCCAGTATAACTTCATCTTAACTAATTACATCTGCAACTACCCTCCAAATAAGGTCACATTCTGAAGTGCTATAACCTCAACATATGAATTTAGAGAGGGGGCACAAGTCAACCTGTAACAGCTGTGTTCAGTTAAAGTTGCAGGAAAATCTCATCCATCGGTGCGTAAGAACTGGTGATTCCCAGCTACCTATAGAATAATGACTTGCTAGGGGCTTCACATTCTGCACTGCACAACCTGTCTCCTCTCCAGCGCCTTACCGCTCCACACACCCTCTATGCCACGCTGTGGCCATTCTGGATGATTCATGTTGAACCTCATTATCCCCTGCCTCCTCCGAGGGCTTAGCTCCCAGCCCTTCTCAACCGGATTCCGCTCCTCTGTGCAGCTTTTCTTGCTCTCCCTCCACTTCCGTGTCTATCCGTAAAGGCTCAATATAGAATGACTAGCAGAGCATCCAGGGACATGTCAGACCCGCATCCTTCCCTCCAAGCATGCGGTTATTTATGCACCCCAGGGTCTTGCACGGTTACTTGTTCTGGGAGCTCCGCATCCAAGAGTGTTTCAAGTTCAACGACGCCCAAGGGGAGGTGCCCCAGAGCCGGGCTTCCAGGCCCCTGGGCTCTTTAGAGTTCACAAGACTCTTACGCCCCCTGGAGGGTGGGATGCGACCACGCAGGAACAGACAGACCAGCCACACTAACCGAGACCCGTCTTTATTGCACTTTTTTAATTGGGGCTGACACCTGGCGGGCAGAGGGGAGAGGGCAGGGCCAGGACAGAGCCCAAGCAAGGTCTCAGACCCCGGACCGTCCCCCAGGTGCGACAGACGAGGCACTTGTAGAGGGACAACGGCGCCCGGAGCAGGGGCGCAGCGCTGGCTCTGCGCCTGCGCGGCGGCCCATGGTCAGGATGCCGGCCGCGTGGTTACCGCTGGCCTGCAGGAGGCGCTGCAGCCGGCCCTGGAGGCCCGGAGGACCTGGCCGGCGTTTGCCCAGCGTGAGGATGCCAGCCGCGTGATTGCCAGCGCCGTGCAGCAGCTCGTAGAGTCGGCAGGAGCACGTCTTCTGGCGGCAGCAGTCGGGCAGGGGCTGCGCGGCCGCCCCAGGCGACAGTAGCGCGGGCGGCAACAGCAGCAGCAGCAGCAGAAGCGTCATGGCAGCCCAGGAGACCTAGGGAGGTGGAGATACGGCGCTGGGGGTCTGACCACCGCGCCGGCAACCAGCTCCTACACCCGGGCCCTGACCAGCTGGTTGCGCTCCTCCTCCTGGCCTTCTCCCTTCTCTTGCTGTCCCTTCGTTTTCCTGGCGCCTCTGCGCCATGTTGTGTGAAGGGCTCTGTTGGAAAAGGTCTCATCTTGCTCCTTTACCTGCTCATCCTTCAAATTCCAGCACAACATCTCCTCCAGGAAGCCCTTTGGGGTTCCCGGGGCAGAATGAATCCCTCTGTCCTCTGCGTACCCTTAGTCTCCGTTGTACCCCCATTAGAGTGCTTACTACTCCACCTGAAAACAGGTGTGACTGAGTCTATCTGCACCAGAAGTTTGTACACTCAGGGAAACAGAGGCCCTATTTCATCCCGTTCCCTTCCCCACAGCGGCAACCCCGTGCAAATTAAGGACTGCCAGGATCCAAGTTGTTGCCTGCTTACTCCCTTGCAGGGGACACTGAACTCTGTGGCTTTGGCCCAGTTTCCTACTCACTCAGGTGGCACAGCTTCCTCACTTGTGACCTGGGTATCAAATAATTCCTACTATGCAGGGCTGCTGGGAGGATGAAATGAGATGGCAGGTGCAAACACAGCAGCTGATACATAGTAAGAGCTCAATAAACATGAGCTCTTAGGAGAAGAGAGCACAAGGGAATGTTAGCCCAGGCAGGTTCTCAGCCAAGGGTCCACCCAGCCTCCTGCCTGCCTCAGAGCCCACATAGAAGATCAAGAGAGGAGATACTTTTAGCTTTTCTTCCACCCCTGAGCAAGCACTCTCACTGCCCCCTGGTATGATGTGTCCCCTCTTTCCCTGGGTCTTTACCTTTGTGGAAGGAGGGTTCATGGTGTCTGGACCTCAGAGTGGGTTAGCCGAGGAAGTTGTCTCCAGTGGTCCAAATAGCCAGGAACTTTGAGGCTGTCGACTGTGACCTGCTATCAGGGGCCTGGGGTTTATAGGGCTCTGAGGTGGTGGGGGAGAGGCAGGCACTTGCGTCCACTCTGGGGCCAGACAAAGGCAAGTCTAAGATTAGCCTCATATAGGGGGGCCGTTTCCAGGCTGGGCCCAAGGAATGGCCGCCAAGGCACTCAGAGGCCAGAGTTGGGTCACTGTGCCCCTGGTCTCCCCCTTGTCTGTCTGCCTGCTCCCTGGAGATGGGGCGGTCTCCGGGCACTAATGAGGCCAACTTGCACCCAGGAATCTGGGAGCACAAAAGAGGCCTTGGCTGGGGCGCTGGTGTGGGACAATGTGGGGGGGCGCAGCTGCTAATTAGGGGCAGGAGAGGAGGTGGTCATGAAACCCATTCTCCACAGGGTGTATGTGGTGGGGGGAGAGCACCCAGGCAGCAGGCCTCTCCCCACCACTCCTTGTCACTCCCCCTGGGGTCCGTCAGGCTCCAGGGCCTTCTTCCTCCATGGAAAAAGGCTTCTGAGCTGGCTTTCCCTTTCCCCAGCTCTTTTCTTCTTTCTGCCCCCTTCCCCAACTTCCAAGATGGAAAACCTTGAAAACCAAACCTGGGCAATGGGAGGAAAGCAGCCAAATCTGGTATTTTCCTTCGATCTTCCAGCTTCCTTCCTGGAGGGGAGGAGGGGGTCCCATCCTGCCATCAGCAGTGAGTGAACCACCATGGCCAGAATCTGTCTTATTCAGGGCACGGTTCATTGAGCACCTGCTCTGTGCCAGGCCGTGTACTGGATGCTGGAGTGACAGTGTGCATAGGACATGCCCAGTTTTCAGGGCACTCCAAAGTCCAGGTGGGGGTGTGACCCACCATAATGATAGCTCAGTGGAAGAAAGGACTCAGAATAGGCCTTTCATGAAAATGGGATTTCTACTAGGTAATTTTGGGGGAGAAGGCATTTTGCGGGAGGGACAACTTGAGCAAAGACCTGGAGGTGACAGTGGGATAGCAGAGGGTGGTCCTCATGGTCATAGAGGAGAGAGGTGGCTGAACAGGCAAATAAGGGCCAGGGTGGGTCAAAGGGTCTTCAAGGCCAAGCTGATTGGTTTTCACCCTGTGGGTGTTGGGGAGACGTGGAGGATTTTAGCAGAAAGGAGTCATGGGCTGATGTAGGGGCCGGCTGGATGTGGGGCATGGAATCCAGAAGTAATCCAGAGGTAGAATCAGAGTTAGGAACAGGTGCCATGCTACTTAGGACAGGCTTTGGGTCTTGCGCAAACCTCACAACCTCACGAAGCCTCAGTGTCCCCACTGGTAAGATGGACAGTTGACCCACATGGCATCTGTAGTTGCTTCCTGCTGTGATGTTTTATGGTTTGCAGTACAGCCTCTGCCCATGGAAATGATCTGTGGGTGCTGGGCCAGGAAAGGGACCCGTGCTGAGCCAAGGCCAGGTCTTTTGGGGAGCAGCTCCTCCACATTTAGGTTAAGCTTGGAATGGGAAGAGGTAGGAGGAGCGGGCTCTGTGTATCTGGGCTGACCTAGGCAGTGACAGGGGTCCGCGAGGGCTCCCAAGTACACACACTCTTGGGGCCTACCCCAGTGGAGAATAGGCAGAAAGCCCTAGTGTCCAGAGCTGAAGGTGGGAGGCAGGCTATGGCAAGAGCAGAGCGAAAGGGACCACTATAGTTTCCCCAAAAGCAGACCCCAAGTCAAGAATCTGGGTGTAAGAGGTTTATTTGGGAGGTGATCCTAGAAAACACATAATGGAGTAAGGATGGGAGGAAAGCGAGTAAGAACTGTGTAAACGAGAGGGTTACGGAATACACTTCTGAGTTGTCGCGCTGAGAGACAATGAAGCTGAGGTCAGTATTCACAACGCCTCTTCCTTGCTGACTGAAGGTTGCTCCTGGGAACGTGAACTCCCAACACTTCCATCCTGCCCAGAGCACTGGGCTGAGAGACACAGGAGCCATCAGCGTGTATGGGAACTCTCTAGCAGTGTCCTCCAGGGTAGGCTGAGGGGGCTCCTCGCAGGGCGCTGCTGGCATCTGCTATCCCCCTGAAGTCACCTCACAACTGGCTGACTGGGTCAGACCTTCCTAAGGCCCAGCAGCTCTGATGGGCAACTGTCAGGTGACACGGAGTCAAAGACCCTGGCCGAGGGTTCCCTATCCAGAAAGGCCCCAGAGGAAAGAGTGAGGCAGCCTCTGGGGGTGAATGGGGTAGTGGGCAGGCCTCAGCTCAGGACACCACCCTCCTCTGCAGGAGCTGGGCCAGGGACCTGTGCCTAAGGACCCGGGGCATCTCAGGAGGGAAGGGGGATGAGGGGCAGGCAGCGAGGGCTTCCCGGAGTGCTCTAAAGGCCCCCTGCCCCACCAGGTGGACTCTGGCAGGACCCACACTGCCCCGGAACCTCAGGGACTTGTAGCAGGGAGAGATTTCTTGAAGGCAGTGGTCGAGCTGAGAACAGAATGGCCTGAATGAGGCTGGTGTGCAGATGAGGGGTGCACAGCTGCGTGTGCACACGTGTGTCTGTGGGATTCACCCCTCCCTTCCCAGAGCCTCAGGAAAGTTCTCCTCCCCCCCCTCCCCGCCCCACTCCTCCCCATCATTCCGCTGTGCCTATAGCACCTGGGGACATGCAGAGTGCAGGGGACATGCAGTCAGATCCTGTCTCAGTCTCATTTACCTTGTCTCGATTTTCCTCTGACAGGTTCCTCAGCCCTCTCAGTGCCACAAACACCTCATAGTGGGGAGCAGAGCCCCCAGAGGAATCTGCAGACAACCCCCCCCACACACACACATGTATTTCTGTGAACAGGGCAGCTTCCAAAGCCAAAGCCTGCTACTCCCCTCCTGGTCCCCCATTCTTCCCCACTCTGAGGTTCAGGGGGAAAAGGGGGTTTCTTGGTGGGGAGAGGGTTAACGAAAGCCAGAACTTAGTCCTAAATAGGAAACAGGCCAGGAAAGGAAATGTGGAGAGACTAAAGCAGGAGGGATGGGAGTTAAGCATGGGGAAGGACTTGTTAGGGGCAGCAAAGGAGGGTGGGTCTAACCTCCTTCCTAGAGGCCTCCCAGCAGGATGGGTATGGGTTGGGGGGCAGCCAATCCAAGAACAGGGGGCAAGAATTGATGGAGCAGCTTACCCAGAATGCTGCTCTCCACACAGCTATGGTCCAACAGCTTGGCCCCTGGCCACTGCCCCACCGCCCGGCCCAGGGCCTCGGAGAACATATCCTCGCCAATGTCTTCTCCTCGAACACTCAGGGTCTGGCCCAGCCTGGAGAAGAGAGAGGAGGAGGCAGAGGAGCCCCGGGCAAAAGGACAGTCCCTCTGCTCCCTGGGAGGTCACCTACCTGCCGATGAACCTGACGACTGGACACTGATTGTAGGCACCAACCACCCGTACCACATCACCCAGGCAGCACCTGACGGGGTGGGAGTGAGGGTGAGGTCAGGTCCAGGGGCCCACTAGCTCATGTCCCTGGTCCTCAACAGGGTCCCAGAGGGCCTGAGGTGGCTGATGGGTGGGCAGGTAGTCACCTGGTAAGACTGGCATGGTCAGTCAGCACCAGTTTGTACTCCTTGCCTTTCTGGGCCTTGGCCAGCAGGACAGTGGTGGCAGCCTCTTCTTGGGGTTCTTCCTTGACTGGGAGCAGCTCAATCAATGGAGTACCAGGGGGCAGGACATAGAGCCCACGGGGCTGCTCTGGCCACAGGTTCAGGCCCACCACTCCTGCGGGGAGCAAGCAGCCTCTTCATCTGGTGGTGCCATTGTTTTCTGTGAGGCCCTCACCCTGGACTCCGGGCCCCAATCCTCTGAGCATCTGACCCCACTGCTGCCCTTCCACCCCCTCCTGGCTTCCCCAGGCTCAGACCACTGCCTCTAGGGTCCTGACTGGGAAGAGGCAGTGGTTCTGGAGGTGGCAGGCCTGGCGGTAAATACTGGTGCTGTATGAATTTGTGCAACGTCTATGAACCTCAGTTTCATCTTTTGTAAAATGGAGCTGCTGGTGTTGGGGAGGATTAAATGAGATGATAATGTCGGGCTCTCTACATGGCAGCTAGCTGTGTGACCTCTGCCCTCTGCCCCCAGCTCACCACCCTTGAGTCCTGCTGACCTCCAGAGGCAGCATAAGCTGGAGAGAAGAAGTCTAGCCCTTGGCACCACAAGGCCCCCAGGGCAGCCACAGCTTCGGCCTGGCCTCCTGCATCTAGAGTCACCACCACCTGCAGCTTTGGCCAGAGCCGCAGGGCCAGTCCTCGGGGTCCCTGCTCTAGGGCCTCCTGCAGCTCAGCTGCCCGTCTGGGGAGAGGTGCTCCTGGGTTCCCAGCGGCTATTGCCTCAGCCAGCTCTTCGCCATTGGCCTCCAGGCCAGAGAAGACGTCCAGGAGTTCAACTGCCGTCCCAGCTTCCAGTGCCCGCAACCCTGGGGACCTCAATGCTTCCAGTAGCAGGGCCTCAGGGTCCTTGGATCCAGGGGAGCTAACCTGGCTGAGGGCATGCCAAGGCCAGGGGAGGGGGTGCGGCCAGGGGGAAGCGGGAGTCACACAGGCCTTGCCTCCTGGAGCCAGCGCTTCCGGGTAGGCCTTCTTTAGGGCTGCCAGACCCAGCAAGGTGGCCTGGAGGGAGACACGAGAGGTTGTTGGCCTCCGGCCTAAGCCAGGCCCTGAGTCCCCAGTTTGGGAGTTCTTCGCCCACCCTGATGGAAGGTTTGGCTGCCCACCCTGATGGAAGGGGTCTCTGGTTGGGCTGGGCTCCAGCCATTTCAGTTTACCTGCAGAGAGGCCTCCCCATGGTGCTGGTTTGAGGTAGGGACCTGCCCCCCATTTTCTTCCTCCTGGGCCTGGCTGGCCTTGGTCAGAGGGAAATGATTCCGGAAGGTGCTCATATCTGTAGCCCCAAAGACATCATACATTTTTCATGAAGCCACAGAGTTTCCCAAGGGTTTCAGGCAAGACTGGTGAGACCCTTGAGGAAGGGACCCACAATAGGCCTGGGAGAAGGGGACTGTCAGGGCCCAGGATGGGAAAATTCATCTTGAACAATCCAGGGCCTGGGGAGGGTCTCCGGGTCAGGCCTCTCTGTGTTGGCCGCAGAAGCGGGGAAGGAAGGTCTTCAGGTTCTGGAATCTGACTGTCCTGTGGGGTTTCTTTCTCTTTGGGCCACCTCCCCAGACTCTGGAAAACACACCTGTGCTCCCCCTGAGGGGACTTCGGGGACCCTGGGCTCTCTTCAGACACGACCTCAGAGCCTGCTGCTGGCTCTGGCTCACGTGCAGCGTTCTCTGCTCCAGTCTCCGCTGCTGCCAAGCGGCTACCCAACACAGAAGCCCCCATGCCACATGGTGCTGGAGGCGGGCAAGCCAGGACAGGCTGGGACCCCGGGACTGCTGCTGCCGGAGCACGGCCAGTGGTGGCAGCAGAAACAACAGCAGGAACAGCAGCAGGAACAGCAGCAGGAACAGCAGCAGCATCTCCAGGCAGCTCCTGGGAGGAGGAAGGAACCAGAGTGCTGGTATGGGGGGGAGGGGGCAAGGATAACCCATTGCTTACCACCCCCACCCCCACTCGACCACACACAGGAAAAACAAGGACAAAGGCAGTTTAGGAAGAAGCCAGGACCCCTGTCAGGCAGGTGAGGCAGAGGAGAGAACACCAGGCTTTAGCGTCACGCGGACCTGAGTTGGGATCCTGCCTCTGTCACTTGCTAACTCAGCCCCAGGTAATTCAGCTAGCTGCTCTGCGCTCCATCCCCCTGTCTTTCAAATGGGAATATAATACCCCCATTAGAAGGTGCAGAAAGGGCTTGGCACGGAGCCTGGCATACTGCGGCTACTTAACAAATGACAGGTCTTGCCACTCCTGAGTGGCTCTGCTTCATCCCAGGATCCACCCTGTCCCAGCTCTGTGTCCCTCCTGAGCCCATGTGCACCTGTCACAGCCCACTTGTGCCTACTCCCAGCACCCAGGGCCCCCTCAGCTCTCCGGTCTCAGTACACAGCAGGCCAGAAAGACGGAGCCATGGCTTTAAAGGGCTGGGCCTCACTCACAACAGGGAAATCCGGCCACTGAGCCTGAGGGAGGAGCTGGGATGGGGGGTGCTCTTAAAGGAGCAGGTTGCCTAAGGGGGACGTGCTGGGTGCTGGCCCAAGCTGGCAGACACGGGAAGCTAGGGCCAGAATAGCGTGGTTCTCAAACTTGTGCGGGTGAAGGGAGAGAAAGCTGAATATGGAAAAGAGCGCCAGGAAGCAGCTTCAGCTGGGAGCAGATTCAAGCTTGAGAACTATTAAAAACCAACATTTTCTCTCAATCCAGAAACCTACTCCACAAAGGTAGTAGAGGGAGAAAACACGTTTGTTACTGAGCAAGCATTAAACCAGAATGTGATGCACACCACAGGCAACCCGCGAAGAAAAGAATCTCAGTCTATTTTATAGTCAAACAGATAGAACCCATTACACACATGTTCTCAAGAAAAATGATACCTAGCCCTCAAGTGAGAGGACCTGATGGCACCTCTTGTCACATGTTGTTTGTCCTAACTTTACCCGGTAATTGGGGTCACCATCTATGTTAGCTTATTGGCTTTGTCCCAAGGAAAAACAAAT